TGGAATTAAACTTTAAAACAGCCGAAAACCAGAGTAAATGTACGAATGAGGTGAAAATTTGTATGTGTGATGAGTGGATGATGGGGAATAATCTGGCGCAGCGAATGATTCAAAAAGAAGTGTGTAAAGAGGGGAAAGTGTTAAAAGAAAAGAGAAAAAAGGAGCAATAACCCTTCTGGAAGGCAGCCGCTCTGCGTTCCCACAGGTGAAGGCATACCGACCAGAAGGGGTCTGCCGAGGGCTGTCCCAAGCCAGGCTGAAAAAAGCAGAGGAGCTCTACTTTCCCCGCCAGTCCCCATGCGTGGGGGGGGGGGCGAGATACCCGAAAGGGATTTATTTCCTCCCCTCCAAGCTGAGGAACTCCCACTCGGAGGGATTTCGGATAAAAAAGATAAGATAGCTTAGGATATAAAAAATGAGATATAGAAAAATGTGGCATTTAATATAATTTGCCGCATGGTTTTAAATGCATATATAATTTACAAGGAAACAGCTGGTGAAAAATCAATGCCTCGATTAGATTTCATTTCGGAAATTATTTTCGAAATTGAGTGCGAGTAGATGAAGGAAAAGAAAAAAAAAATATTTTCAACGTGTTAATATAGAGGAAAGAACATTTGGTTTAGTAAAATTGACAAGACGTAATTTGCGACAGTGCTGAGTCTGCAGCAAAAAAGATAGCATAAAAAGATTTATGCATCTAATTTGTGTGCAGTGTAAAAAAGGAGTTCATCCGACATGTTTTGATAAACATGAACGCTATAAATTTTAATTGCTTTTTAATTTAAATAAAGCTGATTTATGGAATCAAAAATATTTTTATTTTATAACATATTACTTTATTGAATATATTAGTACAGTAAACTCCCCTACAACATGACTTCCTACGATGTGAATTCCTATAACACGCAAGAGATTTTGCGACTGTTTTCATGTAACGCGATTCCTCGTACAACACGCCAATTAATAAAACACAGGAATTCCCCGCATTTAAAAGTTGAGCATTACATACACTGTTTTTTACATCGTTACCGACTTCTTTTGTTTCATAGTTGTTTTGTTTTCTGACACGGTCACTTTTAATACGTATAACGATATAAGTATCAGTACTAAAAAAACGCTTGAGAAATCAGTGACGCATCAGTGCCTTGTATTCGTGATTCGAGAAAGCTTAAACTTAAAATACGTAAGTATGCAAAATACAAATTTATTTGGTAAATTAGCTTTATAAAAAAATTATTTTTAAGGCATGATGAATGAAATTAAAAAGAAAAAAACGTTAAAAAGGAAATTCATTTCTATTAAAGAAAAAATCGCAATGTTAGATCGGTTGAATTCTGGGGAGAAAGTAAAACATATTTTCAAGGAACTTCATTTAAACGAGTCAACGTCCGAACCATAAGAAAATATGAAAACAAAATAAGAACGAATGCTTCTATTAATTCTTTATCAGTCTTAAGGAAAACTGTGCATATAAAAGATCCTTCGATATCTAAAATGGAAAAGTGTTTAATGATATGGATAGATGATTTTACAACCAACAAAATATTCCTCTAAGTAATCATGTAATAAAACAAAAAGCATGCAAAATTTACACTCATTTGAAACAATCCACTCCACCTGATGAAGTACATAGATATGATTTTTAAGGTAGCCAAGGATGGTCTGGTAGATTCAAAAAAAGATTTTCTCTACATTGTTATAAAACGGGTGTGTGCACGGCTTGTTCCACCGCTATCACCCTTTTATTATAGGGGTTTACGGCTCGCGTTCCGAACGGTCGTCGGCAGGCTGTCAGGTGTTCGCCGGTACAGGACTTCGACCGGTATCACCAGCCTTGCGACGTCGTTCGGGTTTTTGGTCCTGATATAAAGGCGCGTGTTTCCCGATTCGCGGTAGACGTGGGTGTAGATAGGAGGGCTCGGACGGGCCAACGTATGGTTAACGAAGGGAGCCGAAGGAGATGGATCACTAGCGTTTGGTTAACGCTATGTGCCACCGGATATGACGGTGTTTGGTGTAAGACAGGAGGGCTCGGACGGGCCAACGTATGGTTAACGAAGGGAGCCGAAGGAGATGGATCACTAGCGTTTGGTTAACGCTATGGGCCACCGGATATGAAGGTGTTTGGTATTCGCGAGTCGTAGTCGTTGATATACCTCGAGCGGTAAAGGTATATCTGTCGGGGGGTTAGCTGGTACGTTACTATACTACTCAGGATGGGTTGATTGAATATGGACACGAGTAGTACTCTATATTCCTATATTCTATTATAATTACAAAATTTTACGTTAGTCGATTCTTGACTCGGCAAGAATCTCCCTTCTCGACTTTACGCGGTGAGAGCGCGGAGGAGTCGTGTACAGTACTATTTTGGTTGACACTTACGCGTTGTTTTATTGCTCGAAGGGGACTGGAACCCGATCTTGCTCGTATCAATACTCTGACGGACAGAGTAACGTTATGTTCAAAATCTGACTTAGAGACTGCCCCCGATCGTCGAAAATCCTACCCTTTTATACACCGAAAACTAAGATTTTTGGTGGTGGGGAACGTCAGATTTCCGTGGGAATTGAATGTAAGCTCATCCCTTTGCTTGGCGACTATCGGGGGGGTGCGTGTTAGACTAAACATTCGGCGCCGCACGCTCGGGTAGAACGCGTACGTAACAACATAATATTAAAATACAAGGAGAGCGAGCTTCAGCTGACTTGCAATTGGCCCAGAAATTTAGAGAAGAATTTACTAAGATTATATTCCCCGAACGGGTTCCTACCTTGTCGAAGCCCATCGCGGAGGTCACCCGACCGGGAAACCTCCGGAAAGGTCTGGCCGAAGCGACTGGGCCGGTGGTTTCAGGCTTAAGGCCGCGCGGGGGCCCACCCAAAAGCACTCTGCGGGTGCTGTCGGCCGATGAGCTATCCAAACGCCATCGAGTGGTAGTGCACGTAGAGGAGCCGGGCCTGTCTGCAGAGAAAGTTGTGGTGCCACGAGCAGCCACTACACCTGCCTGACGCGTCCCTAGAAGCCCTCAGGTCTTGCAACTTCAGGCCCTTCTACGGGACCGTTCGAGAGGCTGTAAAACTACTCGAAAAGGAACCGAGGTAGGGACCTGGACCAAGCCAGGCGAATAAGGACGCCGGACCTGCCAAATAATGGCTCGTTCCGGTATACAAATTATGCAGATTAACTTGCATCACAGCAAATGTGCCTCGGTGAATCTAGCCAGGAACATGGTTGTGATGCACACAGGCATAGTATTAATACAAGAGCCATGGCTCGTTAACAATACTATCAGAGATTTGAGCGGGTGGGGTAACATTTTTTACGCACGCTCAAATGAAAAACCTAGGATTTGCATTCTGGTCAAAGGGCTAAGTGCTATCCTACTGCCACAGGTGAGTTGCGGGGACGTCACAGTTATCCGACTCAAGCTCAACCTAAACGATGGAGGAATTCTGGAGTTTTTGTTGGGGTCGGTCTATATGCCCTACGACTCTCTAGACCACCCGCCACAACCAAACGTCAGGAAACTAGTGGAACTGGCGAAAGATGAAAGGCTGGAACTCCCATTGGACTCTGATGCGAATTCCCACCACACTGGTTGGGGTAGCACCAACATCAACCCGAGGGGAGAGAGCCTTCACGAATTCCTCATTGGTTCAGAGCTGGTGGTTCTGAACAGGGGAACCGAACCTACCTTTATGGACTCCAGAAGACAAGAGGTAATAGACATTATCAGCTCGGAGGGTGTGGCGGGCCTGGTGAAGAACTGGAGCGTCTCCAAGGAACCTTCAGGATCTGATCACAGACTTATCCGCCTTCCCCTTCAGCTGAATACAAACATCACCTGGGTACGCAACCCAAGACGCACGGACTGGGATGGCTACAGAGCAGATCTTTCCGCTACTGTAACAAACATCCCAACCAGATTTCACACCAGGGAAGACCTGGAAATAGCAGTGTTCTGTTTGAACAACACCATCACAGACGCTTATGAATCAAACTGCCTCGTAAAGCCTAGGATTGGTTCGTCTCGAGTACCATGGTGGACTCCTGAGTTAGTCAAACTCAAGACAGAGACCAGACGGCTCTTTAATAAGGTAAGGAAAACTGGACTTGCTGTACATTGGGATGCCTATAGATGCTCCCAAAAAAGATACAGCAAAGCCACCGTAAACGCAAAGCGAAAGAGCTGGAGGGAATTCTACGAAATCATCGAGGAAACCCCGGAGGCCTCCAGGCTGTGTAGAATCCTGTCCTCGGACCATCGAGCCCAGCTCAATTGCTTGCAAATCCCCCAAATGGGGACTACACCAAGAGCGAAAAAGACACGTTAAAACACCTCTTGGAGACAAACTTTCTAGGCTTCCAAAAGACAACCCCCACAAATGGCTGCTCTAGGCAAATACCCGAGGACTCTTACAAGCCTCAGAACTGGCCTCTAGTAGCACAAGTCATACAACCCAGGGCATTGAATGGGCGATTAAAACCTTTCGCCCGTACAAAGCATCTGGACCCGATGGAATCTTTCCAGCCTTACTTCAGGAAGGACTAGGTTCGTTAATCAGCCCCCTGACCAAAATCCTCAGGGCCAGTATTGCCCACAGACATGTCCTTCAGATTTGGAGGAACACCAAAGTAGTGTTCATACTCAAACCTGGAAAAAATGGACACATCCTAGCGAAGGATTTCAGACCAATCAACCATACCTCCTTCATCCTAAAAACGTTGGAAAGGTTGGTTGATCGCTTTCTTAGGACAGGACCGCTAGCCCTTCATCCACTAGCTTCCTCACAATATGCCTATGGGGAGGGGAGGTCGACAGACACGGCCTTACACCACCTTCTAATGTTGAGGCACAGCTGGAGGCCAAGGGCTACGCTTTGGGGGCTTTCCTGGATATCGAGGGAGTTTTTGATAACACCTCGTATTCGGTGATACGAGAGGCCTAAGCCGACCGTAATGCTCTCGAAGCTCTGGTGGATTGGACTCAAAGCATGCTAACGGGCAGAAAAGTGACTGTCAGCCATAATGACGTCACAATACACGGCAGACCGGCCAGTGGCTGCCCACAGGGTGGAGTGCTGTCTCCACTCCTGTGGTGTCAAGTAATAGACGAACTGCTGGTAGGCCTACAAACAGCTGGCTTCCTCACCTTCGGCTACGCAGACGACGTAGCTGTCTTGGTTAGGAGAAGCTTTCTATTTATTCTTAAGGAGCAAATGGAAGAAGCACTTAAGAATACAGAACTGATGCCTGGCCACGGGCTTGACGGTAAACCCCTCTAAGACCTCGGTCATGATCTTCACCAGGAAAATACCTAGGAGAATACCTCGATGCCAAACTCAGCTGGAAAACACACCTTGAAAAGAAAAAGAATAACTTCTACGCATCCCTATGGGCGTGCAAAAGAGCAATAGGGAAGACCTGGGGATTTAAGCCCAGCATCGCCCTATGGATCTACAAAGCCATCTTACTGCCGCGGCTAACTTATGCCGCGATAGTCTGGTGGCCCACAGTAAAAAAGGTGGATGCAAAGAACCTACTCAAAGGGCTACAGGGAAGTTACCTGAGGGCCGCGGTAGGGTCTATGAAAATAACACCAACGGCCGCACTATAAGTGGCATTGGGTTGTCCTCCCCTAGAACATGTCATAATCAATGCCGCTAAGCTTACAGCTTACAGACTCAACTGCTTGGAGGAATGGAGGAACACCGGGACGGGGCACACGAAACGGGAGTTCCTGGGCAACCCCCGTTCTCACTTAAGCACGACAAAATCCCCAGAAAGTACCAGTTGCAGGGGGCTTTTAAGGTCCACATACCAACTAGGGACGACTGGAAGAGACTAGGCTTTCCGGGCATGTGCGGAGATAGTGTGAATTTAAATGAACAAATGAAAAATGAATGAATGTGGGTGAAAATTGGTGAGTGTGCAGTGGGTATGAATGTGAATGAGGAAAAAATAATAAAAAAATTTTTTGAAAAAAAAAAAAATTTAAAAAAAAAAGGAAAGAACTAACAGTCCCTGAAGTGCAGGGAAATTAGGCGAAAAATGAGAGTTGAAAATTTAAAAATAGAAGGTATACAAAATTCGAAGTCGCCGTTTTCATTTAAGTGGTCAGCATAATATCCTGGAGCGTGTTTTATTTGATAGGATCCGGATGAATACAAACATAGATCATTAATGTTTAATTGCGGGAAGAAACAAATTTGATGAACTAAGAAAAATAAACTTTGCTTTATTTAAAATGATATTGGTTTTATTTTATATATTTCGTACTGGATGTCTACAGAGTAGATCGTAAAAAGAATCGTAGTAGGAAGTGACGCTTTCCTTCCCGAGTCACAACTGGTGCTACCAGAAGGCGCGAAATTTGAATAGATATATCTAACACAATTCAATGCGTTGAAATTGTGATCGACGTGCGATTAAGTTTTCACTTCGTACTACACCTGACAAATGATTTTCTTTTGTGGAATGCAACGGCGATTTCGAATTCCAAGTAGCAACAACATCTTTGACAATAGATTACCGCAAATACCACATCGACCTGGATTCTGGAAATAGTATTTTAATTAAAACTCAAATGCACTCACGACACATCAATTCCGTGAAATACTTTGTTTATATATTATTGTTGGACATTGGACAATTGTTGGATATATTTGTGAGTACAAAATAGGCCAACGTGTAGCGGGGTGTTGTTCACACGTTGCAACAGTATTATGGTACTTCGGGTTTGCTCCACATCAGACGTCCACAGATTCACCTGCTAATTTCCTCAACCAATATTTTACCGAAGAAATGTCATCTAAAGAAGAGAAGGATGAAATATAATAACAATTCTTCATATTCCATGCATTTCATCTTGTTTTAGAAGTAAGTTACAGTAGAATAACGAACATATTTTACGGAATATTTGCACGGTAGCACCTTATCTCAATTTTTCGCATTTTATTGTTATTAATTAGCAATTTGAGCAATACTTTTTTACACATGTTTTTACACACTATATAAATATTGACTTTCCTCTATAGAATAGAGTTTGAATTTTTTTATTTCATGCATTCATTTCGAAGTTATGATCATTTGAAGTCAGAAAGTTTCAATTCGAATTTCGAAGTACCGTCAACTTCATCTACATTTTTTATAACTTTCCCATCACATTTGAGATAAATAATTGTGCGATTATGATGCCTTAGGACTTATAGAATGATGCCTCATTAAAATTTTAGGTGCCTGAACTGCTACAAATTTGGCACTTTTTTAACATTCTCCTTTAGAAAATACGTTTTGTAGACCTATATCAATTATACACACGCTGAAAATTTCATCGAAATCGGTTAATGTTGCTATGAGCTACAAACGGTTAAAGATTGTGAAAATCGCACTATGAACTCATATGATCGGCCCTCGGCAAACGTCACGCGGCCAGCGGGAAAAGTGAGGAAAAAAACAAGACGTCGCGGCGTTCACGAATTAACCTGCTTCGACGGAAGTGGGTCAGTGTGTCAATCCTGACCTTTCGAGGTAATCCGAAACAGCTGATGTTACGGCGGGGTCGGTGAACTCATATGATCGGCCCTCGCCAAACGATAGAAACAAGAGACATCGACATCGACAACAATACACGTTGAACGCCGACAGAAGACGTCCGGGTGTTCGAGGAGTTACGGGACACTCTGTATAAACATATTCACATTTATAAACATATGACAGTTGCTCTCTGGCAATCAAATCGAGTAGACGTGTTTATTATAGCTTGTTCTCGAGTCGCTTCGATAGAGTACAGTGTATACAACTCGGCATAAGCCGGGTAGCATATTTAGTTTAAAATTAGTGCATATAAAGTGTAAGATAATGAATAAGAAAAAAATCCGCTATCATTAGCAAATAATCACTTTTGTAACATCGTACATCGTTCAAAAACATACCCATCGTTAAACAGTTACGATGATAAGTATGCTTAAAATAAAGATAAGCATCCTTACAATAAAGTTCATGTATGTATCAGCTTAACAAAAGAAGCTAAATAGATCTATACTTAACAGGGTACATTGATAGAAAAACGACTAAACGAAACAGTGGATTCAGGAAGACAGATCATCTTTACCATATCCATCATCAGTTACAGAAGTATGTTCATTTAAAGTAAAGTATATGTTTCTTTCCATATCTATCATAAACCAATACCACACATCTATTCCATTGACAAAATATTAGAAACTATCCGCTAGAACAATACATGGCCAGAAAATCGATGACGCTCCAAAATTACTTTTATGTTCACTTTGTGATAAAATATTTTTAACATATTTTTGAAACATTTTTAAGTGAATATCGTTTACTGCCACGTAATTAATAGTGTAGTAGGATATATGGAATGGTAGGATATTCTTTGGTATCTCGTTCTCTCCCAACAGAGTACAGCAAGAATGCGGGCCGCGTCCGCGGCCGTGGTATTTATATTTGACCATTGCTAATGAAGCGCGGCTAATCAACAAGACGCGTCGCTAAGTATTTTCCCGCGCGAAACCGCGAGAATCCCGCGTAAAACCATGAGTCTACCGCGGATCGCAAGCTAGTTTCTTCTAGAAGCTACTATTGCTTCGCGATTATTCGGCTGACGACGAGGATAGAGAGTCGTCCCTCTCACTTCCTCTCGCGAAAATGGAATTTTTTCGGCGTCTTCGTTGCTAGTTGTTACAGTCTCCCCCTCTGGACACGCCATCGTCCCGACAAGTAGTCCAGCAGCTGGGCTCTTATCATCGGCGGTGTCGCTTCCTCTGGCCCTGGTGTTGTTCGGTCGGGTGGTCCTTGCGGGGTCGTCCGCGCCTGCGGATCGGTACCGCTGGGTCTGGTGTCTGCTCGGCCGGGTGGGCCTTGCGGGGTCGTCCGCGCCTGTGGATCGGCATCACTGGAACTGGAGTCTGCTCGGATGTGCCGATGTAGGGTGTCAAGGCGGAGGTGTGGTATACTCCAAGACAGGTTGGTTCAGCGCCACGGCTCCATATCTCGTAGCTGTTAGGTCCGACCTGGCGTGCGATGACGTATGGACCGTCTCGCTTGGGGGCGAGCTTCGATGTAAATTGCCGCTCACGCCTGCTGAGGGTATGGGTGGTTACCAAATCGTCCTTCTGGTAACCAGGGTTTGGTCGTCGGTGTCGGTCTGCTTACCCCTTCCTCTGGTCCTGCTGTTCCTCCTGATGTTGTTGAGCCACCTGCATCGTATCAGCAAGTGCCAGGAGCTTGGGGGTGATTTCAGGCAGGAAGTTTTCCGATTGAATCACGGCTCTCAAGTCACGGTTGGCATAGTCGGGTGTCCTTAGCTCCTTTCCAAAGGTGAGATACGCTGCTGAATAACCGGTGGTCCCACACCTTGTTGAATTCATAGCGAACCTGATGGTTGGTAGTCTCTCGTCCCAGCTTGAGTGATTTGCCCCAACGTAGATGCCTAGCTGCGCTTTCAGATCACGATTTTTCCGTTCCGCCGGATTGGCCTCTGGATGATAAACAGGAGTGAAGTTCTGTTGAATCCCAAAGCAGTGTGTGACCTGCTGCATGATGCCGCTGATGAACTGGGTGCCGTTGTCGCTTATGATTCGTCGTGGCATTCCAAATCGAAGCATGACTTCGTGGATTAGGACGTCCGCACATGCTTCCGCTGTGGCCTGTTGTAGTGGAAATAGTTCCACCCATCGGGAAGCGATGATGAATATCCAACGGTTCTCCCTTCCGGTGGTCGGCAGTGGTCCAAAAAGATCGATTGACAGCACCTCGAATCTTCGCTGCATGACGGGTGTCTGTAGTAATCCAGCTGGTCTCAGATTACTGGCTTTGTAGCGTTGACATTCAATACAAGATCGAACGTAGTCCGCGATTTCTCGGTACATCCCAGGCCAGAAGTACCGCATGGTGATCCGATGAAGGGTGTGTTGTGCTCCATAGTGGCCCGCCGTTGCGTCATCATGGTATGCCCGGAGAATTTCCTTCCTCTCGTGCACCGGAACCACCAGCTGGGCTTCCTCCGAGTCCACGTTTGGTGCGTAGCGGTACAGTACGCCGTCGTTGACGAGGTACCCGCGTGATGTCCATTTCATGAGTTCTTCGTCCTTCGTGGTTGATTCCAATGTCTCGATGATGGTTTTCAAATTCTGGTCCTTCAGCTGCTCATCACGAGTCACGGCTGGCCCACGATTAGGGATGTCGACTGCGACCTCGGCAACGTCAGTTCCTCATTCCATGGTTCGCTCGGTAGTCTCGACAGCATATCTGCAACAACATTACATCTCCCGGGGATGTATTGAATCGTTGGGTAATATGGCTGTAAAAGAAGGGCCCAGCGGGCCAGTCGCCCACTGGGTGATTTGAGTGTCATAAGCCACTTCAAGGGTTGTTGGTCAGTGGCGATGGTTACTTCCGCCCTTTCAATGTAACCGCGAAATTTATCCACGGCACATACAACAGCTAATGCCTCGCGTTCCGTGGTGGAATAATTCCTCCCCGCCGGTGTTAGCAGCCGACTTGCGTATTCTATCGGATGTTCGGTTTCTTTTTCCCCTTGCAGCAGGACTGCTCCTATGGCGTAGCTACTTGCATCGGTTCGGATAGTATAAGGCCGCATCTCGTCGGAACATTGCAGAATCGGTGGTGTGATAAGAGTTCTCTTCAGTTCGTCGAACGCTTGCTGTTGACTAACGGTCCATTCCCAGGTGGCCTTCTTCTTCGTGAGCATTGTCAGTGGCTGAGCGGTGGCGGCGAAATTCGGTACAAATCGTCTGTACAAAGAACAAGTTTGCAAAAAGGAAATTAATTGTTTTAGGTTTACGGAGGCACGCATGTCACGGATGGCCTTGACTTTCTCGGGATCAAGTAAAATGCCTTTGGGTGTTAATATACGTCCAAGA